TTTTTTTTTTTTAGGTAGATGTGATATATTTTATTAAACCAACTAAGTTGGAAAAATTGTTCTTTGCAAGCTTTTGGGCACAATCATCCTTCTTCAGGCATAGGGAGAGTCTGTAGTTTCCAAAGATAACGTCCATGTTAACAGCAGCTTATGGAGATGAGAGAGAACAGACCTGATTACCTACCCTAAGTCCTATTGGCTCTCTGCAAATTTGTGTACACACAGTCAAGCCCTTACCTCTCTCTGAAAGTGCAGTTTCAAGAAGTTAAATGAATAAAGGATATCAAACACGAATGTATTTTTGTAGAAAACAATGATTAAATTGAGGCTTCCTGACAAGTGACTTAAATCGATACAATTTAAATCAAATCTGCCCTGAGAGCAACACATACTAAACTCAACACAGGAAAATGGGGGTTCCAACTGCAATACAATTCTTCTCATAAAACCTCAATATTTTTGCACCACATATTTAACACTAAATAATTATTTGGAATGTGTTCCATACAAAATACATTGGAAGTCAGCTCGAGTGTCTTTGCTATAAAAGATGCCCAACCATGGATTACAACCAAGCCTCTATAATCAGAGTCAAGGCATCACAATCCTGGTATGTAGCATGTTTACTATACCATCCAGAGCAGTGGCTACCAACAGCACTCAATTGCTTGATACTAACTTCATTGTTATGCACAACCCAACCCACTTTTTCAAAGAAGATGATCCATCCCGCTGACCACTGGTCTAAATGATACCAACAAGCGGATTTGAAACATCTTGTTCAATTTCCCCAGAATTGAATGAGACATCTCTGTTGGATAATTCCAAAGAAACTCTGAGGGGAAAATATCCAAATGAAGAGGATATCTTTGTTAAACTAAAGTTAGGAAAGACTCTTTATTTTTAATATCAATTTCCCATCAGACAGGTAAGTAACCCAGACTCTCCACCCCTTTAAAACTTTTTTAAAGTTACAATCTATAACAAGAGCAACAGAACAGCCAACTGCAGCACAAATTCCTCAAATTTCCAGAAGCAGCCCCACATCCTAAACTTCTTGACATCTCTGAGCTCACATAGACTGGCTCTGCAGCCTGGCCCACTGATCAGGTAATAATAGGTCATTTGATTGAAAGGGTTATGAAGAGCAAAACTGAGGGACCCACAAAAGGAAATAACCCATGGGGCCACATTTTTCTACAATAGAGACCCATTTCCCACCACTCCCAACACACACACCTTAATTCTCCTTTTCAGCCTCTTAGGAAGAGCACTGCTGCTAACAAACACTTGGCTAATAACAGAATTAAGCTGAATTCCACTGTAAGTTACCAGGGACCCTGGTTCTCCGATGGAAAAATGTGGATTTTGGGTTACTTTTTTAAACAAAAAAATCCCCAATTTTCAATGATTAAACTGAAACACCACTATATATAAAGTTGGGGATTTTTTTTTTTAAATAGGAAAAAAACAGGATCCCTGTAAATAACTCAGCTCTGGTGCTGAGCACACCCACTCCCAAAGAGGTCAACATGAGTCAAAATGGCTTAGCAATTTCAACAGCAAGGCCTATAAATAGCTGTAGCTACACAGAAATATCAAGTATATGTTCAGTTGGACAGTTTCCAAATTGCAGAGGTGCAGGCTGAGGGCTGAGTAACATGCTGCTGGCAGGAAGTATTTTGAAAGGGAAAAAAATGAAAGGGTGTCAGGAAACTCTCTCTCTCTTCCTTGCTGTCAACAGCAACTGTTACCACCAAGACTATTAAGCACAGCCTTTTACCTGCTAACACTGATCCACTGTGAATTATATATAATATATATAGCTGTTGATAGCTCATTTTCTGTCAACCAGCTATTTTCATCGATTTCTGGCTTAGGCAGGTAGTTAGAATCCAGTCCTTAGAGGCAGCACTCTTTGCTCCATTAAGTCCCTACAACCATCCAGTCCTTGGCCAGACTAATTTTTAGATCACGAAGAGGCGAAGGACCTCTAGGAAAAGGCCCAAGGAAGTAGAATACACCAAATCCAGAAAGCAGATGAAGAAAGGAGGAACCAACCCAGGTGAACAAGATGGATTCACTCATAATGACAATGTTCAGAGAAAAAAAGACCCCCCTCTGGCCCAACCAAAAAAAACAAAAATGAAAAAAATCCACAACACACACAACCCCTTACTATGTGGCCATAGATTTCTCTTGGAATGTTACAAAAGCCATTCCCAGTGGGTTATTATGAACAGTTTGTTCTTCTTTCAAGTATTCTTCCAGCAGCTTCTTTGCAACTCGGGTATAATAATCTATGGCATCTTCCTGTTGGAAAATGGATTCCTGTTAGATACCAACACCACATAGTGATTTTTTTCTTCTCATTCAATACTACCTCCACAAACTACAATCCATCCTCCTCCTGCTTCCCTGCTATAGTAAGATACCAGTCTTCTGGACAACTCTAGTTCTTTAATGCAATATAATATACCGTATTTACTTGATTCTAATACTAGGTCCCCTCCCCAAACACTTTTAATATGGGGGAAAGCCCCTTATCTCAGAATCACGTATAAAGGGCAGGATGGGGGCAAGCTCGGGGTGCAGCCCCTACCCAGGGTCAGGGCCACAACAGCAGCTGCTGCCCGTCTTCTTCCCCACCACACTACATCTGCATCCCACATCTTCCCCCTGCAGTCTCTTCTTCCCCCACCCCTGCCCTTCTCCCTCCTTACCCTTGCTCCATGCCAGCAGGCTGCAGCCTGAGGCACTGAGCACAGCCCTAGCCCAGTCCTGTACCACCAATCCAGAGCCCATATGGTTACTATGGGGTCAGGGTGGGGCCCGTGCTCAGTGCCCTAGGCTAGAATGGGGATGGAGCCTGCCAAAGTAGAGTAGAGGCTGGGGAAAAGGGGGAGGGGGGGAGGGTAGGCAAGGGGCGGAGATAGCAGAAGTGCAGGCACAAGCAGGAGGCAAGCTGCTTGACCTCCCCACACTACCTGCTTCCCCATAGCCTCCCCCCCTGCAGTGGTGGGAGGGATGAATTAAAAAAAGATGGACCCTCCCCCAGTAATTAGATTCTAAAAAATGGAAAATTGTAACGTATTAATTTTCTACATAAAGAATCTACATGGAAAAACTGGGGGGGGGTCATCTTAGATTCAAGAAACTGAAGTATATTCGTGTTAATACAACATGCATATGGATTTTAACATCAGTGTTAAATTCTTTGAAGAAAGTCTTCAAGATGCAAGGGTTTTTTGTGACATCTTTTGTACAGTTGTTCCAATAAAAGGAACAGGTGTCCAATACAAAAAAATACTGGCGTCCTACATTTCCAACACTCCAATCCTAGATTTTAGATATCAGGGCTGGAAGGGACCTTGGAAGATCTTTGAGTCCAGCCCCCTGCCCCAAGGGCAGGAAGTCAGCAGGGGTCATAGGATCCCAGCAAGATAAACTGTAGACTCTTAGTTTTCCATTATTCTGGCTGATGACAGAAGCAGCAGAAACAGACTCTTACCCTTTTACATCTTCCAATATCACAACAGCAGAATTGACCACATAGCTTTGGGTTGATTCGGACCCGCTTGTCATACTTCTGATGCAGGTGTGTAAAATAAGCCAGGCTTTTTTCTGCCTTTTTTCTAGATACAAGAATACATACATTAGATTTTACAACGCAATAGCAGAACCACAATAACAAGCCTAGGGAAAATGAAATCCTGAAAATAAAAAGTTTTTCCAGGGACTGATCAGGAATAAACCAACCAACATAAAACACTTCCCCCAACATACATCTTGGCTGCATAATACAGTTAACTTCTTTACTAAACTAAAAGGAAGTCTACAAAACCAAGTTGTGTTCAGGACTCTTCTTGCATTGCCCTGAACATAAAATCTACTGTAATGGGTCCAATCTCATGGACCTAGGAACCATCAACCTAAAATTACGAAGTTAAAACTAGAATTTCTTGTTCTGAAACTCCTGCACGGTTCTCAAATCACTAAGTCAGAGCTAGTCATGATGTGAAATGTATGGTGCCTACTAGAGATATACTGAAGCCAGAGCTGCAGCCCTCAACACCCTTAAAGTTCAAATCAGGTACAGACCTGAACAGTAGAATTCATCTCTAGCATTTATAGGATTCCTACTCTTGATATATTGTTAATAAAGCTTGGGAATATTTATCTAGAATTATAAAAAAGAAGTAGGCATATTATGCATACAAGTACCTTTCCCTGTAAAGATAAATAAGCCTAGCTACATCATAACACAACTGGACCTCTAGCACATTACAGGTTGGGTATGCAGCACTGAAAAGGAAGAGAGAAATACATTAGGAGACTGTACATGACAGCATGTCTATTAATATCACAATCAATTACTCTGCCTTCTAAAAAGGAGACTGTAAAAATGGAAATGTGTTGTATATTAATTTGTAGCGACTATGTTTAACACATGACAAGTTGTCTTGTTCCCAGGCTAAGGCCAGATGGGAACCATATTAAAAATAGTATGAATATACATGCAATTTCTTAGGCACTAAAATTAAGGTGACTAACTTTTTTCCTTGAGAAGTTCAGCACTCATTCGACCCTCTTAATCTTACACAAAACACTATGGAATGAGAGAAAACCCAGGCATTCCAGTTTCCAGAGCCCATCTCCTCTAACTCACTAACCCCAATCCCAGAACTGGGATAGAACCCAGGCCCCCTCTCTCTCATGTAATCAAGATTTTTTTTTCCTGAAGAACAAGAGTAGGATGACAATTTCTGAATAGTTTTGAAACCAAGAGCCCTTCTACGTTGGACCTTTAAACCTGCTCCGTATACATATGTCAATCAAGCATGGGAGACTTACGTAAAGTGCCTTTCTATAGTTTCTTTCCTTGCATTTTTTGGGAGACCAGTAATGAATAATGTGCGCTTGACCTAAAGGGGAGAGGAGGAAAAAAAAAAGAAAAATATCCCAGTTTCTCAACACTACCACAAAGGAAGACAGCAAACAGGAACACAGAGAAGGCAGTGACACAGCACATAAGTATGTTAGTCCTAAAACAAATGAAGAGAACAGGAAAGAGGCCAGCTATCGACTTCACTGGGGGTTATATACGCTTTCAGTAGTGAATTAGCCTCTACATTAGAAAAAGACCGAAACAAAGTAAGTAATTTTTCCCCCCTTCCTTCATGCAATTTATTTTCTTGGCCATCTGAAATCAGTGTTCACCTTTTAATAGATTTCTTCATATTTATTTGCAAATTGGCAGGGAGGGAAAAGTTTTTATATTAGCTTTTCTTTAGCATTTCCCACTTACGAATATGCTGTAGATTTTCCCCAAACACAGAAACTTACTGTGTCTTCCTCTTTATACTTGACATACTTCACATGATGTCTCATGAAGACAACAGTCAAAATCAGGTAAATAACAGCAAAAATAGTGTGCAGCCAAAGAAGATCATTGCTGTGGGACAAAACATTTAGAAAAGGGAAGAAATGTCACACTGTTGCAGGCAAGGATAAGGGGCTATTAAGAGTACAGCCATCCGCAGTTTAAAGCAGTCAAAAAATGTAATTTGCTAATGATGATTTTATCCCTGCAGGCACCTGGTGTAACCACATCACTTACAAGACAACATCTTCCTAGCATAAACAAGCAGTAGGTATCCAAGAAATGTAGCTAGTCTAGAACCACCCATACTTTTTCAGCAGGTTTTAACCGTGCATTTTTCTGCCCAGGTATGCAATGGTACACTCTGCTATGGCTCCATTTATTTACCGGCATTTTTTTTGTCAATATAAGAAGTCAGTGTGTTGAGTAACTAAACAAAAGGAATGATGTCTAGGAGATCTCCTCTTATCTATAAGATTATTCTAGTCAACCAAAAGCATAAAAAGAAAAAAGGGAACAACCTACACTGGGCACGCAGATGAACTGCTTGCAGAAGGATGGATGAATAGCATGCATTCCTCCTGTAGTAGCCTCCACTGCTGCACTCTTACTTTTGTGCGTGTCAGCCTCTCTTTCAAGACTTACATAAGAAAATCTGTACTGTCAACAAAATTCCTTGCATCTGTAATGGGATTACTAACTAGCACACACTTTCAAAGACGCATTATTTTAAGGCATGTAAAAAACAGATTTGTGCATTTTATTTTATTTTTTTTAAATACTCCTTTATTAAGTTCCTAGGAAAAATATCACTTAAGATGACAGGTAGTGTGATAAAGCTTTTTAAGAGAAGGGAGCTTTTTTACATTAAGTTAACGCACAATGGAATTACAGTACAGGCATACCTCGGAGATGTTGCGGGTTCGGTTCCAGACCACCGCAATAAAGCGAATATCGCAATAAAGCGAGTCACACAAATTTTTTGGTTTCCCAGTACATATAAAAGTTATGTTTACACTATACTGTAGTCTATTAAGTGTGCAATAGCATTATGTCTAAAAAAACCAATGTACATACCTTAATTAAAAAATACTTTATTGCTAAAAAATGCTAACCATCATCCGAGCCTTCAGCGAGTCATAATCTTTTTGCTGGTGGAGGGTCTTGCCTCAATTTGTAAAAAACGCAATATCTGCGAAGCGCAATAAAGCGAAGCGCAATAAAATGAGGTATGCCTGTATAGATTTAGATGTCCTGGTATGTTAAAGCTTATTTTATTTTTAATAATTTGCATGTAATTGTAATAAGAAAATATATAATAAGCTAAATCATATTTTCTGCTAAACCTGCTAGTTTTATTTGAATCTGAGAAATATGGTTCCTGAAAGCAACAATGCTATATTGCTGGTTGTTAATCAAGACATGCATGCGCTTTAGAATTTGGAGCAAAGAACAGAAACCAGGACTGTAGCTTCTAGTCCCAGCACCAGGCAAGTCACATACCGTGTTTCAGTTTATGCACTTAAACAATGGGAGTAAGTATAACACCAAAAGAATGCCTGGTCGTGGGTAGTGATTAGCACTTTTAAAGAAGGGAAGTATTAAAGTTTAGGTACAACTGCCCACAATGTAAAACTTTGTATTTAATACTTCCCTACGTTTACTTACCCAGTTTCTAAATTTGCTATAGTTGTCCTCCCAAAACTATATGGATCTTTATCTAAAAAGAATAAAAATGCATACTTTATCAAGCATAGACTTCATGAGGCACAATAAGGATATCAAAATATAAACAAGGAATAAAATACCGTATTTTCTCACACCCATCATACCCCCAAAAAATCAGCCCCCCAAAATTGGGGTTGGTGTTTTAAATTGGGGAAGCTGTTATCTTTACTAGAAAAGCAGCAAGTCTGGATACACTGTGCATACCAAGCAGCTGCTAAGATCGCAGAGTCCTGTGTTAGTCATAACTGTTGGCTAAGCACTGTACTTCGTGTCTGGAGCAACAAATGAGCCTGCTAGTGGTACCCTGATGAGGCTTGTGATTGGAGACAACACTTTATTTACAGAAGCTTATATAAAAAAAAGCTACTTACAGTAAATAAATAACAAAATTTGCTACTGCCCTTGCAAGGGTCTAGGGCCTAACTTTGTGAAACAGTATCCAGCAAGGGTGGTATTCCAGGAAAGAGTCTAGGTGAGGTAGCTGGCAGCAGGACCTTCCTGGCGCTACACTTCCTAGACACTCTACGTTCTCAGGAGGATTTACTGTCACACAGTTGATCATGACTGGAAAAAAAAAAAATCTTTTCCTACATATTGCCTTCCAAAAAAAGGTGTGTGTTTTATTTGGGGGGGTGTTTTATGTGTAAAAATACAGTATTGAGATAAGTAAAAAGCTGTTCTTGCTTATTTTTAATACATGTTACATTTAAAAGTAACGAACATTAAAAAAATTGTATTTCCTGCTGGTCTAAAAAAGAAAAACAAGAATATGCCAGGTTCAGCCTACATGATAGACAGAGCTTAGTGTTAAGATCTGGATATCAGATATCTACAGCATGTGTCCCACCCACAAACACTTTTGTTTATGGAATTAAGCCAATTTTTTAATCTGCCTATTTTTCTAATCTCAGTTGTTTGTTCAAATCGTACAAAAGTGCTGTGTCCAGAACTGTCACAAGAGCTTTGCTAATCCCAATGACAAGATGGCATAGACAATTCAAGGAGGGGAAAGGCTATTCATATCTTCAGAAAATTACCAAAAAAATCCCATGACTTTCCACTACACACTTTTTTATCACAACACAAAATTGCAGCAGGAACACA